TCTTTTCCCTCAGTGCCCCATCACTGAGTGCCTAGTCTAGACTCTGCCCGATGCAAATGGGTCTCCGTCTGAGGGGGAAGCTACAGCAAGACTCGTTCCCACAAGAAAGCCAGACCAGGGCTTGGGCAGTGTTCGGTATACAGGCCGTCAGCACTGCTTAACAGCCAAGGCTCTGCCACTGCTGATGGCGCTTCTAGATGCTCTTCACCTCTTCTTGTAGCCTCCCCTGATCTTTATTAATCTGATCATTTTTGTTGATTTCATCGCTTCACACACCCTAGGGTCGCCTCTAGTTTTATGCAGTGTCGTTTTAGGCAGCTAGAGGCTGAGCCATCGCTGGCAAGTGCACTATGTCATGACTTAAATGGCCATCAGTGAAGCAAACCGCAAGTAGTAAGACGGACCCTAGAACTGAGTCGTGGCTGCCTCAGACACTGTTCTCAGGAGAGATAATAAACGTGAAGAAGTTTTCTAACAGACCCAAAGTATTTAGCTTTGCGTGTCAGTTGTGTGTCTGTCCCCTTTGTTTTTCCCCTGTCCTCTCAGGCTGGTGCTTCAAAAGCAGAAATGCTAACACGTCCTCATACAAAATACAGGACCTGCACCAGGCAGAAAACGCCATTCTCTCCGTGATGTCTCCCAAGGGACAAGCCTGGCCCTGCCCATGCCACTTGGTAACAGCGGCCTCAGCGACTTCCTCCCGGCCACGCTGCCTCACAGCAGCTGGCTAGGTGTGTCACTTAGCCGGAGAGGCATCACCAGTCCTTCTAGGCCTGCTCAGACCCTGCCTCCTCCACAGTGTCCCCTCTCTGACCTCAGGTCACCAGCTCCAGAACCATCTGTCCAACCACGCCATTGAGCGGTTCATCTCTGCCTGGCTCTGTGCCAGTCACTGCAAAAGCCCAGGCCGCCCTGGCTTCCTCGTGCCACGGGGAAGGAACTCTGCCTCCTCCTGCTCATCCGAGTAGCTGGCTGTGGTCAAAAATCAAACAAACTGAAAGGCCATTTTCTTGCAGCTATGCTGCTTAGATCCTCAGCTCTTGCCGCCATCCTGAGAGGCCACGCCCTCCAGGTGCTCCCGCTCCCAGCAGGACAGACAGCAGGACAGACAGCAGGACAGGGCTGCCTGCGCAGCCCTGGGCTTGGTTGTTGCTCAGTGCTCTGTCTCCTATAAATACAGACATTCTAAAATCATGTTACTCTTATTAGGCTTCTGTAACAAAACAGCATGAACTAGATAGCTGAGACACAAGAAAAGTTCCTCACGGTTCTGGAAAATGAGAAGCCTTACATGGAGACGAGCCAGACGCCTGTTCTACCCTAAGCCCACGTGGCAGAAGGGACAGCGCAGCTCCCAGGGCCCTTCACACACTTACTCCACACCCGCACGGCCTCCTCACCTCACACTGTCACCTGGGGGTGAGTGTCCCACCTGTGAATGACACAGACTCGGCAACTACAGATACAGCAGGTGAACTTTATTACATAGAACTACCCAGCAGCCCTGCTTGTTCATTCAGACTCCATGCGCGCCGGCTGATGAGGCTCCCAGGACTTCAGCTGTTCCTGTTCGGAGGGACCTTTCGCAAAGGTGACCCCGGCTGCTGCCAGGGTGACATTAGGCGTGCACACAGACGGCTCTAGAAACTAAGAGAAACCACCAGTCTTGTTAAAAGGCTTGTGGGGCGGTGGGCTGCTGCTGGGGTGGGGCCAGCGTGAGGCTGTTCATCCTGCCTGGGGGGAGGGTGCTGGTGCTTTCAATTTATAGAAGCTCAACAAAATAAGCATCTTAAAAAGAATTTTTTAAAAAGTTAAGTCTCTGCTGCCCCACATTAATCAATGAAAAAAAATCAAACTGATTGAGATAAACTCTAACACACACTTCCCTTTTTTTTTTCTAAGTGATTACACTGAAAAAGTTGTGACTATCATTGTCCAGTGACTTCTGCTTGAGGATCTTACTTTAAATGTCCCCAGTGAGAACAATCCAGTAACTCCAGCTAATCTAGAAACAATGGTGCAATTGTGATAGTTAATCAGTACACACGAGCCGAGCCGACCTCTGCTTCTTCGGACAAGGCCAGTGTTCCGGCTCCAGACAAGGGGCAACCTCAGGCGCTCCAGGGTGGGCAGCGCAGTTGGCACCACGGTGTGCGCACACAGGAGGAGACGAAGGCCCGCAGTGAGGGCCTGCAGGGCGGGAAGCGCCCTTCCCCAAGGGAGCAGCACAGACACTCAGCGGCTGAGCAGAGGCCGGCCACCAAGCCCACGGATCCACCCTCCTCCACAGAGCCAAGTCCACGCCTTCCTCGCTCCTGAAAGGAGACTGCTACAGAATGCTCACCAGCTAGCTGTCCCTGCTCAGGCTGCCCAGGACAGCATCTCTACTTGCTCATCAGCCACCACAGCCAAGGTGTGTAGCCCGTCGCGGTCCTCCGCTGCACTTGAGTATCAGCACTCTTAAATGCAGCCCCTGGCTTGTTTCCTCCATGGCTTTGCCGTAAGAGCACAAGTGTAGTGAAAACTACCACTAAGTCAAAGCCAACATGGGAAAGGAAAAGACTCGCATCAATATCGTCGTCATCAGACACGTGGACTCCGGCAAGTCCACCACCACCAGCCATCTGATCTACAAATGTGGTGGCATCAAAAAAAGGACCACTGAAAAATCTGAGGAGGCTGCTGGGATGGGGAAGGGTTCCTTCAAGTAGGCCAGGGTCGTGGACAAGCTGAAAGCCGAGCGTGAGCGTGGTATCACCACTGACCTCTCCCTGTGGAAACTGGAGACCAGCAAGTATGACGTGCCCACCATTGATGCCCTGGACACAGAGACCCTCAAAAACACGATTACAGGCACATCCCAGGCTGACTGCTGTCCTGATCATTGCTGCTGGTCTTGGGGAATTCGAAGCTGGTATCTCCAAGAACAGGCAGACCCGTGAGCATGCCTTCTGCCTTACACACTGGGTGCGAAACAACTAATTGTTGGTGTTAACAAAATGGATTCAACGGAGCCACCCTACAGCCAGAAGAGATACGAGGGAATCGTTAAGGAAGTCAGCACCTACATTAAGAAAGTCGCTACAACCCTGACACTAGCTTTTGTGCCAATTTCTGGGTGGAACGGTGACAACATGCTGCAGTCCAGTGCTAACATGCCTTGGTTCAAAGGACGGAAGGTCACTCGCAAGGATGGCAATGTCTGCTGAACCACAGTGCTTGGAGCTTTGGATTGCATCCTCCCACCCACTCGCCCCACTGACAGGCCTTTGCAGCCCCCCACCCCCACCCCAGGATGTCTACAAAATCAGTGGTACTGGCACTGTCCCTGTGGGCCGAGTGGAGACTAGTGTTCCCAAACCCGGCATGGTGGTCACCTTTGCTCCAGTCAACGTCACAACTGAAGTCAAGTCTGTTGAAATGCACCATGAAGCTTCGATTGAAGCTCTTCTTGGGGACGTGGGCTTCAGTGTCAAGGATGTGTCCGTCAAAGATGTCCGGTGTGGCAATGTTGCTGGTGACAGCAAAAACGACCCACCAAGGGAAGCAGCTGGTTTCACTGCTCAGGTGATCATCCTGAACCATCCTGGCCAGATCAGTGCTGGCTATGCCCTGCTATGCCCCTGTCCTGGATTGTCACACAGCTCACATTGCTTGCAAGTTTGCTGAGCTGAAAGAAAAGATTGATTGCTGGTCTGGTAAGAAGCTGGAAGATGGGCTGGTGAGATGGCTCAGTGGTCTAAAGCACCTACTTAGAACAAGCTTAGTAAAGCCCTGGGACCACGGTTCAATCCCCCAGCACCACATGCCAACCAGCCCTGCCCCCTGGTGGGCTGAGCTGGCCACACACACACACACACACACACACACAAATAAATAAAATTAAAAAAAAAAGAAGCTGGAAGATGGGCCCGAGTTTCTGAAATCTGGTGATGCTGCCACTGTTGACATGGTTCCAGGCAAGCCCTTGTGTGTCGAGAGCTTCTCTTACTACCCACCTCTGGGTCCTTTCCGGGTCCTTTCCCTGCTCATGATATGAGACCGACAGTTGCTGTGGGTGTCATCAAAGCTGTGGACAAGAAGGCTGCTGGAGCTGGCAAGGTCACCAAGCCTGCCCAGAAAGCTCAGAAGGCTCAGGGCTGGAGCACACCCGGGGCTGGAGCACACCCCCGGCTCACGTGGAGGCCAGCCCTTTATCTCTGAGCTCGGTCCTCAGCCCTCCTATGTACCCTTCACACTCCGGCGTGGAGCTGCCGAGTCACTCCTCCCATGTCAGACGTCCAACAGCAAAGACAAGCCCTGAACCAGTAAGCAGAAAAGGCTCAGCAAACAGGCCAGGTGTGAGCACAGGGGAGCCTGCTCAAGGTCTTGGGACCACTTGCATCTACGCTCAGCAAGCTGAGCCCGACGGGTCACTGCACTGCGACTTCAAAGCCTAATGACACACGCCATGAATAGGGATTGGGAAGGCAACAGGAGCAATGTCTCCCAGAGGAGACGAGATGCCAGGCTTGGCCCCAGCGTGGATGAGGAGGGGGAAGGACCAAGAAAGGGATGGGTGGGAACCAGGGAGGGGATAAGGGGAAGGGAGGGAGAGAGGGGGATGGGTAGGAATGAGGGAGGGGGTGGGGGGGCGGGGAGATAGCTCAACAGAATAAGCGACTGCCTGGCAAGCGCAAGGGGCTGAGTTCAATCCCTGGTTCTGAAAAAAAAAAAGAGAGAGAGAAACAGAGGGAGAGGGATGGGTGGGAACCAGGGGGAGGGAAGAGGGAGGAAGAGCAGGGGAGAGGAGGGAAGGCAGGGAGAGGAAGGGGAGCAGACTAGAGGCTCAGGATCTACCTCCCCTGCAGGAAGGTGGCTGTATGCTAATAAAGCGGCTTAGCCGTGCAGTTACAAAGCCTTGAAAATGTATAAACATATTAATTTATGTGACACTAAAGAAGGTATCTAAATGGAGCACTTTAAATAATAAAAGCGACTCTCATAAATGGAACTCATATATTCATATTTTTATTTTCAGAAAAGGACATATAAATAGTTCACCTGAACACAGTTTCCACTACTTGGGAACACAACTCACTTTATAGTTAATCTGTGTCCAAAAGTTTTTCCTATATTATTTCATTTTCTTAAACAAAAACAACACTTTATTTTCAATAGAAAAAAATGTATATAAGTCAAAACAATAATTTTGGTAAAAATGGAAATCAACCACCATATCTTTTCTTGAGTTCTTCAACAGAATTATCTTTTAATCCTGCTTTGTGTATGTGCTTGAATAATACACGTGCAACTGAAAAAGAAAAAACAAGTTTCAATTTTTAAGAACTGACTGAAACATAAAGAGAATACTGAGATCCATCCAATAACTTTTTACTTTCTATTTTTTAAAATCATTTATTTATTTACTTATTTATTTGGTACAGCGTCTCACTATCAGCTCAGACTCACAGTGATCCTCCTGTCTCAGCCTCCCCAGCACTGGGATTGGAGGCGTGCGCAACCACGCCTGGTTATGGTGGCCGGCACAGCAGGGCCAGCACCAGGAACCGAACTTAGGACCTTGTGCTTGCCAGGAAGGCACTTTTAGACGACCAAGCTATCTCCCCAGCCCTTATTTTTACAGTTTAAAAGCAATTAGGATTAACTATACATCCCAATTCAACATTTTAAAACCCAACCTGTGTATAAAAATCCCCCAGCGATGCGACAGGTCTCCTCCCAGAGCACTCCGCTCTCACAGCATCAGCGTCCCCTGAGTCCCCTCCATGGCACTATTCTGTGGTACCTCCTGTACTACTCTAAGGGTTTCCTGTACTACTCTAAGGGTTTCGCCCTGTCTGTGGAACAAGTGTACTTTATTCAATATTTTTATTTCAATCAACCTTTTCCATCTGTTTTTTTTTTTCTCAATTAACTGTTCTCAACCTTGAATCCTTTTTTTTTTAACAGGGTCTTGAACGTAGTTCACCTTGAACTTACAGCCATCCTCCTGCCTCAGCCTCCTGAGTGCTGGGCTACAGGCGTGTGGCACTGCACCTGGCCTAATCATTTTATGTTAAAGCTTTATATCACTAGTGTAAACTGAAAACCAGTAATACCATGTATAAAACACACTGGGTCACCCAGCTGTGTATTTTTAGATTACATAATAAAATATAGAGCTACTGAAGGTTAAAACATTGTCCATGAATCACGTGAAATCCCCATTCATCCCACTGCGTAATCCACACGCAGCAGTGTGGAAAACACTGCCACCATCCCTGCTTCTCCACCTTAAACTAGAAACTCACCCGGCTGAGGCAGGCGCTGCTCAGAGTGCAAGGCCAGCAGGGCTACACAGGGACCCTGCCCCCTCCAACAAAACCCCTGGGAAGCCTGCTAGCAGTTATTAATGGCAACAGCAAGGCTCAGCAGGACAGCAGCTAACGCTTACTGACTGCTCAGAGATACAGCAGGACCACTCTGAGCGTGTCCTGTGAGGCTGTCGCCCTCAGCAGACAGCGGCCACCCAACCACGATGCTGCTGCCGGGCTAAAGCGCTCGCATGCTCTGAGCGCACCCTGAACTCCTCACACCAGAGGGACAAGAACGCACTTGGCACGCTGATGCAGAGAAGTTATGGAGTACCAGCACCGAGGCCTAGCGAATAAAGGAGGCGACAGTTCTGCTCTTGTGGAGCTTTCATTCTGGGGTAGAGAGAGAAATAATAAAGGAATACGAAAACACACCAGCTCACTATGCATTAGAAGGCACTTGGCAAGTGCAAGGCAGCAGGGTGGGGCACAGCAGGAGCCAGGCAGGGACTCTAACCAGGCTGGTGAAGCCCAGTGTCCTCGGCTGGCAGCAGCCAAGTGAACGGGAAGGGCCGAGGAAGCCAGGGCCGCTGGCTGGGAAGGTGCTCCAGGCTGGGGACAGGGAAAACGACATCCCTGGAGTCCGACTGAGTTCAGCAGCTTGGTGTGCTGAAAGGATAAAAGGCCAGCATGCAGGGGCGAAGTGATCAGGAAACAAAGCAACACAGACCGCGAATTTCAGGAGATGGTTTCAGTTAAAGATAAAGCAGAAAGTTCAGGGCAAAAAGCCTATTAAAAACTAAATGTCCAGGGGCTGGTGAGATGGCTCAGTGGTCTAAAGCGCCTGCTTAGAACAAGCTTGGCGGAGCACGGGGACCACGGTTCGATCCCCCAGCACCACATGCCAGCCAGCCGCGCCCCCTGGTGGGCTGGGCTGCCCCCCACACACACATAAATAAATTTAAAAAAAAAAAAACGCTAAATGTCCAAATTAAGTAGGCGAGAGCTTCCCCAAGCACAGTGCAGAGCCTCTGTCTCGTTACTAAGACCTCCACAACGCAGCCCAAATTTTCAAATAACCAGTTCTTGCAGCTTCATTTTACTCCAATTGGGGTTTCTCAAAACTGACCCTTCATCTAACTGCAATTGAACAAACTCAAGGAAACTGCCTTGCTCGCAAAGACAGACCCTTCAGGGCCAGGGCCGGCGGCCGCTCGCTCTGGGGCGGGGCTCTTCGCACGCCACCGGGGCTCACGCATGGCGCACGGCCCCCCGTGTCCAGAGGAGCCAGGCGGCAGAACGCGCGGCTGCGTGCAGAGGCCGGAAGGGCTTTCCGCATGATGACCTGGCCATATCTCCTCAGCCCTCTGCACGTCGGCTGCTTTTGTCCTTCGGGAAAATCACAATAGTACCTATACTGGATACTACCAAATATAATCTTAACTGTACTTAATTAACTTGTACTCTAAGGGGCCGGGGAGATGGCTCAGTAGAATAAGCGCTTCCCTGGCAAGCGCAAGGGTCTGAGTTCAATTCCTGGTTCCGCAAAATAAATAAATAAATAAATAAATAAATTGTACTCCAATTGAACACAGTTTACAGTTAACTGTTTAGACTCTGGACATAGTAAGTAGTCAATTAAATGCCTGCCACTATTTGTTAAAAAATAAAGGGTCATACATACAAAAGGAAGTAAATATAGAAAAGTTTTTTCCTTAGAACTTACTCTTTCTCTCAGGTTCTGACATAAACATCACAGCCATATCAAACCTTTTTAGCTCAGAAAGTCTCTGTAAGATTTCAAAGATAAGAGATGGCTTTTCTTTCTCAATGTAAAAGTCATGAAGAATTTTAATGATTTGGTTGAACACATCTGGATCTAGATTCTTCTGAAATAACTTAGGATAGAAGGATGGCTCAATTTGCTTGAAGAAAAGCAGAAAATTAAACTGTCAATATCTACATTTCCCAAATTATGTAATTACTGCTTAAGTACAAGTAGAAAGAATAAGTATTATGCATTAATACGTCAGCAGCCCAAGACAGGAGACCTGAGAGAGTGGCAACTATAAAGATGTTTAAAAGCTGACAAATTTGGAATGGTTTACTGAGTAACTGCAAGGAGTGTTACTATCATTACACCGGAAAAAAACTACTATTCATGAATTTCATGCTTTCTTTTTCTTAAAAGCACATAAAAGCTCATTTCAGGAAGACTGCCCAAGTAGTGCCAGCACTGCTTCCAACACAGAAGTACGGAAGTGTTTCAGCTTTCTCTTCCTATCCTGAAGGATGAAAGATTAAGCTTAAACTCTGAGATGGGAAATCAGATCGAGTTATCCTACACGTTAGAATTTAATGCAGAACCCATTCCCACGGGAAAACATGGTTTCCTCGAAGCAAACGTTTACACGGTCTGGCCAGAGTAATACACATACATGAGCTAACAGATGAAAAGCACTGTCTACAATCACACAAAAAGCAACAAAAGACACTTTTGCCTTTTACTTCCACGAGAACAACTAGCTTCTTCCCTCTTACCTTTAAATACTGATACAACGTCGCTGGAGAACTTTTCAGCTGTCTGAAATCCGATTCGAGCTGGAAGGGTTGGCAGGAGCCGGAGGCAGAACAGCTGTGCCAAGCTGAGCCGGGGGCTCCTCTGCCTTTCTAGCAACCTCACGGGAAGTCGCACATACATTCTGTCCCGAGCTGACTTGAGGTCTGGAACATTTCCGGGACACCAGCAGCCAGAGAGAACAGAGCCAGATAATTAAAGTTCAACAAAGCAAACAGCAATAGAGATTTTAAACTTCTAATTTTATGTCACTAATTTGTATTTGAAAATGTACACACACACATATTTTTTGGGTAAAACAAGACTATGCCCTTGCATAGTCTCAGATTCTGACAGCTGGGCAGCAGTCTCTGCTGGGCGGCTCGCGTGGGGCTCTGAGCACACCGCCTCATAACCGCTCTGTGTCACATACACTCCAGCTCAGCCTCGTGCAAATCTAAATTATAGTTTCAATGCATTTCAAGAAGAACTGTTTTGGGGCCGGGGAGATGGCTCAGTGGAATAAGTGCTTCCCTGGCAAGCGCAAAGGCTTGAGTTCAATCCCCGGTTCTGCTAAAAAAAAAA